AGGGGGGCAGAGCCTGGAAAAGGGGTGGGGAGGATGACAGCATAAATATGTTTAAACAAACAGACAATCAGCCATTCAAAAACTAAAGAGAACAGTAAATGAAAAATCCTCAATGAAAACCACCAAATAACAAATATGGGTTCAAACTGTGCTAGAGTTTAAACATACCTGTGATGTCTACGTATCTCTTTGCATTCCACTGCCATCCCAAATATTGTAGCACTTGCAGGAATAACTCTGCCATAGTCTCCAGTACTGACATCTTGATTTTTAGGCTGTGAAAACATGAATAACAACACACAATGAGACAGTGACCTATTTCTACCATTACTGCAAAGCCTAGGTTACATATTAATAAACCATTCAAGATTACAGTCAAAACATCAGTAAGTTCTTACTGACTAGTAAAGTTTCTGGTTTTTGTCATTCCAGTTGACCATTAAAGGAATTTCTTAAATACTGTTTCAATATATCCACGCATCAGCTTTACTTTTCAGTCTATTACTTCCTCTGTGTAATTCTAAAAGTGTTTTTTTAATTTGTATCCTGTTAGAATATATTGAAACATTTGGGGACCTTTCCTTTATGCATCATTCCTATACTTAACACTAGAGGTCATAAGTTTCAGTTCAGTACAATACAAAAGCTTTTAGCCCGATAAGACTTTTTTTTTTTTAAATTAGTTGGAATCAAGGCAACATCAGAATAAAAGAGAAGTCCTTCTATTTCATAAGACCTAACAGAGGTTAACCCACATAAGACTCGTCATATTACTTTGCTTAATGTATGCTAGCTAAAATGCAAAATACATAAAGTAAAATCCGAGACCAAGTGGAATTGTTCAGTCTTCCAAAAAAGTTCAAAGTTAGCAAAAATAAATTAAGAGCATAAGCATATGACATATTTACCAAATTATAATTGATTGTTCCCTAGTGTTATGATGACAAATAATTCTACCATAATTCAGCATTTTCTGCTTAGACTGACGTGACTTTCTGCTGCCAGTTGTATCTCAAAATGACTGGGTTATAATCAAACTTGCAGGAAAATAGTGCCTTTAAAACACACACAACCACCTTTGGTGTTACTTACAAAGAGGGGGGAGGGGAAGGAATGAACAGTGATCAAGAGCGAACCATCTCTGTATGATGGAAGGTTACATCAGGGAAACATGCATTGCAAGTACCTGTCTAAGAACACGAGTTCACAGAAGTACAACATATGCAGCTGCCTCATTGCCTTTCACCAAAATCAAATTCATAGAACAAACCCAGATCACTCATTTTTAAAATACCAATAGGTATGAAATATTTACAAGACAGTTGTTCCTCATTCACCTGTCTGTGAATGTGTGCATATGTGCACACACACGTATATGCATGAATATATATCAAACAAAACCAGAATCCCATTTATACATATGTACCCACATCACCTACCATCGGTTGTAAAAGTAGATGTTCCCAAGCATGTATCAAGCTCTCCACAATTCCTTCTCCAAATAAACCAGCATCAACTGTTTCTGTGACAACCAAGGAAACTCTAGGTAAGAAAAAGAACACCATGAAATATAATGTATAACACACATTCCTGTTAACAATCATCCTTTTAAAGAAAAAAAAAACGAAACACCATACTGAGCTCAGAGCAAAACTTTTACCAGTGTTCTGAAGTTTCAATACAGATGGGCAATTTAATTCTTCCAACAAAATGACGTGTTTTGAATTGTTGTTAGAAGTTATTCAAGATGCAGGTAAAAGAGAATAAATATTGAGCAAGAGTTTACCATAAAACTTCTTGTTCAGCATTTATAAATAAATTGTGTGGGAAGAATCTAGTCAAAACAGGAAGATGTTTCAGCCTGGACACACAGCCAATGACACTGCAGAATATGTATTTTATCTGAATCTTGTGCAGAAGTATGCATCCATGCATGTGTGTTAAAAAGGAATTAAAAACCAAACAAACAAACTATAATCAAAGTACAATAAAATTACTATGCAGACTAATGGACCCTAAAATCCTAAATCCTTTGGATTTAAACCAAAAAACATACAGCATGATAAGACAAGACATTTCCAGAACAGTAACAATTTATTCCTGACAGGTGACACCCAGAAACTCACCATATACACTAAGAAGATACATATGATCAGTTACTGTAGCTCAGCTGACACAATTAGACAAGGCTTGACTGGCCTGCTAAACCATGGGAGCTTCATCATTTCAGATTACGAGCCTGTACCATCACCAAACACTTTATTAAATGTTAGTAATTAGAAGTAAAATGGATTATTTCCTTCCCATGTTTAATCCGCATCCCTAGTAGCAGTGAGCTGAAGTGATAAACCAGTCCTTCGCATATACCAAAAACAAAAAAAAATCCCCTCACATTTCCACCTGCTAAGAATTTACAGACCCTCCTGAAGAACCCCTGCTGAATGGGATAGCAAGCAAGGAGGAGCAGGGTAGCGTAAAAAGCCTAGATCACATATACTGAAAGCTGTAGTGCTGATTAAATTCTAACTTGCCAAGAGCAATTCCAAGCTGCTGGTTTGTCCCAGTAGTTCTTACCATGCTTTAGAAGACATTACTTAACATTGGAAAAATAAGCTACTTAATTTTCCAAAGCACATGGATCTCTGCTATACAGACAGGTGGGCAGATGTGTATAGACACACAAAAAGCTCAATACAAACACAAAAACCTGTTCTCACAGGACAAATTGCAACACCCTTCCACTGAATTTTACTCCAATATCTAAAGCCACACTCAAAGCCCTATGGATCCCTCCCATGGCAGGGTGCTCACATTCACAGCTAGAGTCAGCCCAGCCACCACCAGCCTTCCAGATGCAAACAACCAGGAGCCCATGCACATGACATGGCACCTTCTTGCCTCCAAACACAGTAGCACTCTCCTTAGGGGACAGAGGGGAGGGGAGGTTTTCCCTCACTCCCTGATCAGAAGAGGCAGACAATCTGCAATTTCTGATCTCTCTGACAAATACAAAAGTTGACGTGGAGTTGCAGGGGTGTGGTATGTCCCAGAAACAGCCTTCCTTTGCAGGCCGTATTACATACCTCCATCCTATTCATGGGCTGCAGAAGTGAGCCACAAGTTGTTAAGTATAAAAGTGTGTTAAAATGACTTTTATGATGTAGTAATCTAATTTCTCTTTTCCTATTGCTGCAATATAATTGCATATGCCCCAAAGCTCCCACCATCATAAAATTAAACTCCTTAACGTATGACATTGTTGATCTACCATAAATATTAGTACAATTTAAAGAACACGTTATCATTTCTGCACTGCTCTATAAAAACATAAAACATACAGAGAACCTTCTCACATTATGGGTAATATCATAGGCAAAGTTATTTCCTGTTTAGGTCACAGGGTACTTTCTGTTTTCTTGAAATTAAGAGCATATTAAAAATACTATCACCACAGAGCACAACAACGTACCTTTCAGGTATGTGCTTTGGAATTTCTATATCAAGTGACTTCAAATGCAGAAGTTTGATCTCTCTTTCCATATTATTTGCTGCGACCACATCACGGGCAAGTTCATACATGGTTTTTGATAATTCACAGGCATAGACAGAAGATGCTCCTGCCTTTTTTGCAAACATACTGAAAAACAAGAATCAGGGCTTTTCCCCTCCAGTTTAAATCATTTTAGGTAAAGCATGACAAGATACTGAGTTTTCTTAAGTTCTATTTCCGCATCTGCTTCATATTTCTAAGAAAACAGTTCAAGTCTAAAAATCATCATTAAGTGAACTAGTATCTATTGTGAGAACACTGATATCCTCTTGATATGCTATCACCAAAAAAAAAAAAAAAATTTACAGGTAGCATACGGATATTCCCCCAGCTATGCTAAATCCACTCTTTATACTAGACTCAACACTTAAAGAGTGTTTAAGTGTCATGTGTCATGACACATGACATTACAACTCCAAAACCAACATGAGTAATTCAATTTATATAGCAGTTATTGGCACAAAAAGCATCTGCAACAAATAATTAAAAAAGGGTTGAAAAAATACTACTAGACACTAACCTTCAGACTCACTGACTTCGGAAAGCTTTGTTTCCTTTCTTAAGTTTTGTCTCAATAAAGGCATGAAAGTCAATTATTTTTTTCACTAGGAACTAAATTTTGTTAGACAACAAGTATGTTTCTATTAAGTTCATGTTAAATATGCACTTATGACACACCTCAAAATTCCTGTTCCTGTTCCAATATCAAGGACAGATTTGCACCCTGAGCGGACAGCATTCTCAATTGCGTTTAGGTAAGTAAGGTTCCTCTTGGTATCGTTGAGCATGATGAAGTGCCAGCGCTCCACAAGCCAGTTTGCAACACGGTAAAAATTCTCCTTTGCATCAGCAAAGTCTGGGTTAAGCTTCACTGCTTTATGAAAATACCCAGCTGCTTCATCTCTAAAGCCCATTCTAGTAGTAAAAATGACAAATAAATAGAAAGCATGCATTCAACTGCCAAGTATCTGTATAAATCTGTGGGTCTGTAAAGAGGTCTTACATCAATTAAAACACGAAAATATTTCTAAAGATAATCTTTCTAAATACTGATATTACTTTATGAAAAAGAATGACTTACAGCTCTACATCAAATCACTTTAAAATGCAAAGGTAGTCCAAAAATATCATTGCGTGCACCAGTCTTCATCCACTACTACATCCTTTGACAAACTAGAACACATTTTACAAGAACTTGCTGCAACAATGTGACAGCAGTAACTCTGCAATCCAATCTCACAGATTTTCAAGTCAAGAGAACGCTACAAACCTCAAAACCGTTTTACCATATTTAACTGGAACATATTGGAAAACAAATAAATTTTGAGTTGCCAGCACTTGCACTAAGTGGCAATTTTGAAATTAAGTTGTGAACTTGAAGCAAGTTTTTATGATCCCTATAGCATATTCTCAAATCAGACAGCACTTAAAAAACCCAAAATCTATGAAATGCAAGAAACGTACATTTTAATACAATGCTGGGAGAGTTGTTCCTTAAAACAAACAAACAAAGTAATCACAAAAAGCAAACCTAATTAAAACTATCTGGATCCACGACCTATGATTTCACTCTTAAAATTCCAGTCTCAAAAGACCTTAGAACCCTGAGCAACAGCAAAGCACCGTTTTTTCCACTGTTTGAAGAAAGCAGGAAAAGAATGCTTTACACTAATAAATAAAAGCATAAGCTCAAACCATTTAAGAACAGCCCTACACAGTACAGTATACACAACCAGCTTCTTCACTTCAAAGGTCTGTAACATGTGACCTCAAGAAGGACCAGAATTAAAAGACAGTATTCAAAGGCAGTAGTTCTCAGGGATCTAACAGGAAAGAAAGGAAGAACTTAAAAAATTGTAGGTTAACCACAACAATAACAATAGTTAACAGAGTGTCTATGAACAATTTTGGTCTCTTTTTTGTTTAGTAATTCCTTAATAAATGGTTAGAAAATATTTGAAGGCAGTGCTTTTACTTTTAAGTTTTTACTTCAGTAAAAGTGCTTTTACCTTTTTTCTTTTACTTTTGCTGTGACTATCAACATTTATTTTAGCATTGGCTGCCCTATTTTAAGCTGACAAACAGATTTGAAGTTCAACAGTACACACTATACAGCATTAAGCATATGCTTGCATTTACTTCTTTTATGCACATTTTACGTTCTCTGCTGAATTGGGCCTTGTTTATTAACATACAATACTAAATGTGAACCTTACAAAAACCAAATATACATTACTACAAACCTGAAAAGATGTTCTCCCATACTATTACATATCACTTCATCATTCGGATACAGTTCAAGTGCTTGTTCATAACAGTTAAACAGATCTTGAATCCGTGCCAGAGAATCTAGCTCTTCTGCCCATTTGAACAGAGTAAACTGAAATGTTTCCTAGAAAATAAAACATACACCACTGAGTTGCCAGTAGTTACCTGAAGTTACCTGAAAAGATGTTCTCCCATACTATTACATATCACTTCATCATTCGGATACAGTTCAAGTGCTTGTTCATAACAGTTAAACAGATCTTGAATCCGTGCCAGAGAATCTAGCTCTTCTGCCCATTTGAACAGAGTAAACTGAAATGTTTCCTAGAAAATAAAACATACACCACTGAGTTGCCGGTAGTTACCTGAAGTAGGGAACTGAGCCCTGAAAACATGCAGAGGTATCCTGACATGCACCTGAACACCCTCATTTCCCTAAGCAGCAGCATACAATTGTTTGCTATCATCCCAAGTTAGTTGGCTCACTTGAAGAAGCAGAGTATCATCACCCAGCAGTGTATACTAAGAGCCTGAGTGTATATTAATGCATGCTATACTACAAGCCAATACTAACAAGTCCCTATTTTTATCAAAGTTAGTTACAGTCTAAAAGTGTATCAATCCCCTTTCCATAGGCATACAGAGCTTATTAAACAAGTTACTGTCTGTCTCCATTATTACTGTTTTCTGCTTTTATTTTGAAGACTGAATAGGAAAATCAGTTACATACAACAAATCACAAGCACAAAACATGTCACAAAGCCTCAAGAGAAATACGGTAAATAAAATTGTTTCAGGCAATTCAAAGAGCACTTACTTTGACACTAGCTTTTAACTCAGGAGCTAGATTTAGTACCAGGAGATAATGAGCATATGCAGTTCCAAAATCCTGGTCCTCCAGGCAATGCTGAGCACTCTGCAAAGACCTAGAAACCAACTCCCGCCTGCCGGCTTCCTGACCACCTCTATGGTTACAATGAAATTTAGCGTTTGAGTTGGGCATTCTGAAGGATGTAAATACTCGCTCTTCCTTAAAAAAAAAAAAAAAAAAAAAAAAGTTGTGTATACTGTAGGCCAAAACAGTTGCACACAAAGCTGACAGATCAAACAACATTTTAATTTTCACTGGCATTAGTAAAAACATCCTCCCTCCCCACAAATCCTAAGCATTCAAAAACATGCTCATCTTTATGCCATGGATAATTCCATCAACTTTTGAACAGTGAACACTCATTTTAAAGTCAAGCGCACATCACGTTTATGTTAGACCAGGTCCTGGAAACAGGTTACATTTCTTTGCTTTATAAAATTAGGTTTTGTAATACATATTTTAGCATGTCTCCGAGCAAACAGTTTTGCACACTGTAAGCTCATGCACTCAAAACACAAGTTTCATAATCAACCACAAAATCGGCTGGTTAAAACTTTTCAACTTCAACAACAATGTCTTCATAAAGCAAAGACTCCCAGGAAAAGAGCTAACGAGCTCACAGCTTATTTTACACAAGGCAACATGACTATTTTTCCCCTTAAGAAAACGTTAAAGAGTTATCAGAATCAATATGCACATTTTTATAACTGCCTTGGTTACCACTTTAACTTTTAATGCTTACTTACGTAAGAGGGCCTAATACCGCCTTCAGGATTTTCAGACGTATCCTAAAGCTGAAGAAAGTGACGTTACATGGGGCTGCAAGAAACACAGCACCATCACAACTAAGCCTTTTTTTGTTTGTTTTCTTCTTAAAAAAACCCCACCAAACATCGGCCACCTCTCAAGCGAGCACCAGTAATTTACACAGGGTCACGCAAAACCAGGGAGGGCCGTGCAAACTCGCCTGCCGTACAGATTTGGGGGCCCGGGGGCAGAGAGGACGAGGGGGCCG